ATTAAAGCACCCTAATTTTACAATAATATTTGTTCCCATATGCGCGCTCTATTTGTCCGCGTACGAAAAGCAAATGTTATTGTGAAGTTAGGGCACTTTAGTCAGCTGAATAAAATATGATTTGGCGCACGCCTGTGTGGCGCTTTTGGGCATGTCAAAGACATTTCTAACGAAAATGGATTTCGCCAATTAGTCAAGCTAGGCAATTGAGATTTTGCGAGGATATTTTGGGCCTATGTGTGACTGAAATATTACAATTTGAGCTTTAAAGCGCAGGTGGACAGCCGGCGGTTCGCAGTCGGATTAAATCCGGCCTGCGGAGGGAATGGGAATGTGGTGCCTGACTAGACGAACGGGGGTTTGTATTTCTCCACGCCTCTGCACTGTCGTAAATATAAATCCACGCTGCAACGCACCAGGCTTGTCGATGCGATCGTGCGTTTTTACGCTAACAGCAGGAATGGTTGCTCTGCTGTAGCTTAACACTTGGACTCATACTGGTTGTGTTTTGGCCTCTTTCCGCATGCAGCGGAAAGGACGTTAGCTGGAATGAAGGTTTTGCATTATGGGGCCGCACAGTCCTCCAGTGTACATGATTATCAGTTTAAGTCCCGCCGTTTATCCGGCTAATGCTCATTCATTGAAAAAACGCAAATTAGGAGATTCGAAGAGAATTATGAAATCCACAAAATACACTCGCTTTTGAATTTGCAGTAAAACTGGGTATTTGTCTTGTCTGCGTGCATAGAATTTCACCTCCAAACAGAATTAAGGCCATACTTGAATGTAGAACATACATGCAAAGTTTCAGCTTCGCAGCTTCTCTGGAAAGTGAAATAACCACTTCGCTACAAATAAATTTGAAGAGCCTTAAGTCGTAGGGCAGGTGCAAATCGAAACTCAAATTAGGTGAACGATTTTCCATATAAACAACAAATATTCTGACAAAATTTCAGCCGCTGTTTTAGTTCTCTAGTTAGCACAGTGCTAAGCACCGAAATTTGGTGAGACCGAACGCGCGATATAAGCGTGTGCAATAGTTGAATTTGAAACCTTTAGCTCATAAGTGCACATAGAATATCTCGCAAAGTTTTATCTTCTATCTTGTCTGGTCCACGAAATCGTTCCCCGTCAAAAAAATTTGCATATTTTTTTCGAGGATCCGCAAGATCTAGGCGCGTAGGAGCGAAGATTTTAAAACGGGAGGGTGGCACAGGAGTGGGGATACGACCCAGAAATTTCCGCGTTCCAGGTTTTCCAGTTACCGATTTGAAAGTGGGTGATAAAGTTCATTCGCTTCCAAACATACGACGAGTGGCTTTTCGACAACATGCTTTTTGCCCACTGTAGCAGCGCTATAGCTCTGCACAGCAAAAACGCATTATAAAACTAAAATATGTGTGAGGCTAACAAGCGGCAGTATAGAAGATACATTGCAATTCTGTGTCACTGCCATAAATCTAAATTTCAACAATTTTGCATCAAAAGTTCCAGCTCAGAGCTTGCATTAACCTGTTGTTGATTTTTTTTACTGAATGAACAACCTAATAAAAACTTATCTGCTTCTATGCGTTTTTGCATCTTATGCAAAAAAACGCATAATTTCGAGAGCATGTCTGTGCGACGCCATTTTCCTCCGCGTGCAAGAAAAGACCAAAACATGGGCACATGAGCTGCGAGTGTTAAATGGTAGCAACAGCCATTCATATTGCTAACGACCTGATTGCGTCGTTTAGCGCAAAAACACATGGTCACACGGACAAGCCTGCTGCCATATTACTTGGGTTTTATTAAAAGATGGCCCGAGAGCTTAAATAAGTATGTAAATCACGCCCGCATGTTGCCAAAGATTACCCAAGCCTGCTTTAAAACAAGTCTAGGTCTCGCGTACATCCCAAGTGAATGCTTATCCAAATAACTCCACATTCAGGCTGTGCAGGAAGCGGTATTTTTCTGAGGATGTTTGCTATTCACCTATGAACCAGCACGCGCAAAACAGGCCTTTGCTTAGGGTGGGCTGTGCGTACAGGCATATCAAACGTTCAAACTGCAACATCGTAGCTCCTCTACCCAATCGTCCAGCCGGTCTTTCTGCGGCGTGGAACCATGCAAAAACGCACTATCACACCAGCAAGTCTCGTGTATCGCTATTTGAGTTTAAAATCACTGTAGTATTAAAATAAATCACTGCAGTATTCGGTACAGTATCACACCTTGAATACTTCCGTAAGCACACCATGAGCAGCTTTTACCCGGGTTTTTTTGCGCAAAAAGAAGCCAGTCATTGGAAAGGAAAATAACCATTGGAACAACATGCCAGTCACTTGTCCCGTGTCTGTCATGCATTGTAATTTGCACTAGAACTGGAAATTTTTCGGTTCTTCATGGCGGAGTAAAGTAGTTCAGACGTTATTACCATTGTAACAAAAACGTCAAAGCACAACAGTGAGTGGAGTGTAATCCATTATTAGCGCTGCAAAGCGGCACGACACAAACAGCATTCAATGTCAGCGATAGCTCTGGTACACGTTACGTGGGGTTATGTATTGCGCTATGTTCATAACAGCACTGCATTTGAGTTGGGGGCTGAGTTGTGCTGAGAATGTTGAGAACAGCAGAGAATGGCGGGAAGAAACTTTGGCTAGCAAGAATCAGCTTGATGCTTTATGAGAATTGCTTTCGCTTTACCAGCCCATCCAAAAGTCAGTGCACTTACATCATTAGGAGTTCTACGAATCTTTTAATTGTATCTGGCTTCGAGCGCGAAAATTTTGGAATGATCTAGTC